CCATTACCTGAATGATTCTGATCTTTGGAGGTTTAGACACATCACAGCAAGTCATTCTCCTTCATTTCTGTTTTTTTAGACTGTACAAATGCAACAACATTTTTTTTATTATCTCTTTTCAATTTTGGCATTCTAGTCTTCAGCCACAAGCAATACATCTTACTTGCATGTTCTGTTAATTTTAGGTCGACCATAACACTTATCAACCTCCTCCTCTTCTGCATCAGTGGATGGAACATAAACATATTTAAGCACCATATCAAAGGATCGTCTGCAAAGTCAAATGATTTGGTCAATGACTGCATTATATCCAAGTATTGTCTTGCTATATCCTTCCAGACTATGAAAGCAATGCCATTTTTTGTTTTTATGTTCTGAATAGTAAATAAGCAATATCATTTTCTTTGTTTTTATGACCTGAGTTGTAAACAGCATGATGTTCTGTCTGAAAATATCAATTCCAGTCCAATTCAACTCAATTCAGTTGTATTCACTAACGCCTAATACAGTGGTGGCGAACCTATGGCACGGGTGCCAGAGGCGGCACTCAGAGCCCTCTCTGTGGGCACGCGCGCCTTCACCCCAGTCCTAGGCCTTCAATTGGGTTTTATAAAACCTTTTCGCTTTAGGTCTCCGCCACCGTGTGCAAAAAAAAAAAAAAGGTTCAATCAGTCAATTTCAACTTCTTGCGGAAAAAAAGATCTTGCAAAGTTGGAATTAATTGAACTTTTTAGTCCCACCCAGTCTGCCGTTACCACTGCAGCCACGCCCACCCAATGGACCATACCCAGCCAATGGGCCACGCCCACCCAATTGGCCACACCCAGCCAATGGCCACGCCCACCCGGCACTCGACGATGCATAAGTGGGTTTTGGGTTGCAGTTTGGGCACTCGGTCTCTAAAATGTTCGCCATCACTGGCCTAATACATCAAAATGTACTCTATTTTATCTGTTTTAAGCCTTCCTATGTTCATGCTTCCTATATTCCATGTAGGGATTTTGTTTCCCTGCATGGCAACTGCAGCAACTAGATTTTCCAAAAGCTTTATCTAGCCATATCATAAACACAATTAGTACTTCTTCAATAACATGTTGAGTGCTATTTGACTTGAGCTGCCCATTATCTGACATTCTATTATCAATACTGTTGATATGCTTTTCTTGGAGTGGTTTAAAAGTAAATCTGATTTACCTTTTCCTGTGCAATATGAAAGTATATCTTTGCCATTGTCACTCAAATAATCATCCATCTCCAGCATCTTTCAGTGTTGTTGCTGCTCAGTGTAGGTGCATTTTTCCTTCAGCTGGTCTCTGGAATGACCTTGAACAACTTGAGTGACTTTGCTGGGAATAACAATCCTAGCATTCTTCACATATTCCTTCCAACTCCCTGCCCCCCCCCCCCATCAGTATTTAAGCGGAAAGTGGTACTTTGGGATAAGAATAAGGCTGGTTTATTTAATTTATTGAGCAAAAAGCCTTGGAGGGGAGATGATTGAGAATGAGTTTGTATTTAAAGTTATGTCTATTTGCTGTAGAAAGTGTTCTATAAGCGGCTAATATATTAGGAGTTTGAGATTCTGGTCAAGTTGTAAAGTTTAATCTATTGTTTTATTTGCATTCGTACAGAATTAAAAGGGTGTTTTTTAAAAAAAATTATGGTACAATTTTGAATAATTACATCCACTTGTTTATATACAAATTAATAATATAAAAATACTTGCATATGTGAGCAATTATTTTAAATCTGATTTCTGTGCAGGACAGGAGAGAAAATAAAAAGTGCCTAATTATGATGAATTTTATATGCTTTTTTGAAAACAATAAAAATTATAAGGATGGATAAAATAATTGCAGCAAGAAATTTGAGGTGACTACACACTAAATGGGTTTGAAAGAAAGTGAAAAGCTTCAAATCACTTGCTTGTCACAGCAACAATTTTTTACAAAAAATGTAAATGGGTCAATAGAAATGAGAAGAAACTGCTTTTGATAAATATATGATTTACAAGATTAAAAGGGGAGGCAAAGGTTCAGTCAGCATGTCAACTTAGAAATTGAAACCCCAGGTGACTTTCTATAACAGAGTTCCCCAATGTTTTTGGCTTTGTGGATCGGGAGGGGGGAAAGGGGATGGTTCTGCACGAGCGGCCAGCAATCATGCATGTGTGCATGCAGCTCCATTTCCATGAACAGCTTGCACTCGTGCCTGCCGCTCATGCAAATGGAACGTGTGTGCATGTATACACCCACGGCTTGCACAAGTGAGGATGCGCGTGTGTGCGTGTGCACTTGCTGGCCATTTCCGCGGCCCGGTTGCAATCCCCTCATGGCCCACTAGTGGCTTGTGGCCCACAGGTTGGGGACCCCTGTTCTATAAGAAATCTTTTCAACATTATATTGATTTGAGAACAAAAGCAATTTTGATTATAGCGTGTTTCACAAATATGACTGAAACCATACAGCAAACTCAATTTTTAAAATGAAAAAAAAAAGACTTGTTTTGGCCAAAATAAAATAGTCTATTGGATAGCTGTTTAATGTTCTTGATTAAATTAAGACATGTTCAAAGATTACCCCTCAGAGCCTTATATGCTGTGCAGCAATATTTGAACGTTTTTGTAATATATTTAAATAAATAATATATATATTTATTTATTTTTGCATATATGGACTGTTTTGGATATGGACAGTGCAATAGTCTACTGATAGAAGTTACACATTCCTTTATTAAGCTTTTTAAATTATTATTTCTGCTTCTGTGTTGTGCTACATTTTAGATTTCTTATGTGTTTTTTAACACATGGTTCCTATAAATTTTACTGTACTATGGTACAGTATTTTCCCTGAGCTTTTTCTTTAGGGATCATATTTTGGGAGATACAATACAATAACTCCAAAGCTTCTTTTGAATGTAAATATCTGTTTATAAAATGACTTGAACATTGACTCTACATGCATATTGTTTCATATTGAGATTATAACCAGTAATCTTGAACCAAATGCGTTAATCGTTTTTGATACATTTTCCACATGATTGATTGTGTGGTATCAAGTCATTGTGAACTCTTAGGAACAACATAGATAGAATTTCTCCATGATTTTGTCCATGATACTTTGCTTGTATTATGAATTATTTACAGTGGGACATTTTAATCTCACTTTCAATGATGAACACAACATGTAAAATCCAAGTTGCGTGAATAATGTTTGTTTACAGTAGATCTTTATGTGTCTTTTTCTCATACTACCCCATGTCATCTCCCATCTGCTCAGACATTTCCCTCTGAAACAGAGAACATAGTGTATGGATGTATATGTGACTGTAGGCAGCAAAAGGGGCGGGAGGACAGAAACGAGCTGGCAGAAGCAGTCAGTGGAAAAGCTGCAGTAGATTTTATTCTAAATCTAGATGGCCCATAAATAATTCAGAATATAATTTATTCTCTGGTTTTTGGCTTAACAGTCAGCATGATTTCATTAGAAAATTTTGGGAAGTCCTTAACCTAGAGCTGGTCCATTGAGAACAAGTTTTTTTCCCTTTATTTTTTAAAATGTATAAAGTTTGAGACACTAGGATATAAAGCTTTTTATACAGCTTAAAGTCAGCTGACATACATTTGTACACTTAGCATTTTATTTCCTGCCTTGAGGTGACACTTGCTAATTTTGTTGAAGATTAATTTTAATAAAACAATCTATCCAAAAGGCATTTGTTGCTGCTTTTCTTCAAGAGGGCTGGGGTCATGATACTTTTACAGTCCCATTAAAATAACACATTACTGTAAAATCCTGAACTTATAAACTTGAAACTTTTGCCAATACTGTTAAGATTTATTTTATTTTATTTATGCACTTTGAGACTCAGAGTGACTGTTCATAAAGTTGGCTTTCGTGATAGAGGAAGCAAATTAAAAGTGGAGAAATTCTTTGCCTGTCGTAAAAGTATCAGTAATAAAATCAGGCTGTGTGACAGTGAAAGCAACTAAATCTCTCCTTTGACCTTTGACCTGAATAATAGGAGGAAAGGGGACTCATTATGGTTGCACTGGCACTTGGTTGTCATTTTCTGTCTTCCCAATCTATGTTAGTCTATTCCATTTCTGGACTTGTATAAATTCCCAACCTGATAGCAGGGACTCTGCACAGAAATGCAGAGCTGAAGCAACTGGCCTAAAAATGTACATTTGCACAGACAAAGCAAGAGCTATTTGTTCAGGGAAAGTGAGAATGTGTTTTCCCACAATTTGCAACCTCCTTCAAATGTTCCTGTCTTCCACAGTTTTAAAAACTCCTGCTCTAAGTTATTTGGAGAAAGACTTAATTCACTTGTTTTATTCATATAACCGTTGGCATGTTAACTGTACTTATTGGCAGGGTATATTTAACAAAAGAGTTACATTAACTTGCCAATCTAGCCATAATTGTTATTTAAAAGATAGAAAATGTTGAGTTAGTCATGAAAAATCAACGGAATTGATCTGTTTGGTACATCTACAGAGAAATTTTGGCTTGATGACTGCTTCTGGTGTGACTTAGTGGCGAATATAGTGCTTCAAATGAGACCTTGTGGATTCTGTTTATTGCGGCTAATGTTTAACTCGTATCTTAGTACTTTAACCATAAATAAAAATCATACTGATTTAATTGGAAATTTAATTTAATGTGAAGTTATAATAGAACTATTGACAGTAGTCCATAAGAATGAGATTTGCTTCTTTTTAAAATACCACACATCTGAGAACAAAAGTTTTTTTTCATTATCTCAGATATTGCTTTTATATATGCCATTTTCTCACACCTAATCTCTCTTGAAAAGGAAATTTTTATCTGTAGATCTGTCTACCTTCATAAAATATATTGTTACATTTTCATGGATAAAGACATCGGTCTGCTTAAATTCTTTCCTAAGGTACAATAAACATGCATTCTGCAAAAAGTTACTTGATTTTTGTAAAAACAAAACAAAACCATAATCTGCTTTGGTTTCTGTTCCAGGCTTTTGGTCAGGCTCATACCAACCACAAGAAAGTAGCAGCAGATGGAGAAAGCAGAGAGGAGACTTTGATACAGGAATCTGCCACGAAAGAAGAATACTACATGAAAAAGGTTATGGAACTACAGACAGAACTCAAGCAGCTGAGGAATGTCCTTGCCAACACCCAGTCTGAAAATGAACGCCTAAATTCAGTTGCCCAGGAACTGAGAGAGGTAAGTATTTTTAAGCAGTAATACTTGAACTGAAAAACCTTTGAAACTGAACAATTGCATTCCTTGGAAGAGCAATAGCAACAGCACTTAGACTTATGTAGCGCTTCATAGTGCTTTACAGCCCTCTCTAAGCAGTTTACAGAGCCAGCGTATTGCCCGCAACAATCTGGGTCCTCATTTTACTGAACTCAGAAGGATGGAAGGCTGAGTCAACCTTGGGCTGGTGAGGATTGAACTCCTGGCAGTCAGCAGAATTAGCCTGCAATACTGCATTCTAACCACTGCGCCACTATGGCTCAGAGGTAGTTATGTGATAGGCCACGGGTAGGCAACCCGCGGCTCTGGAGCCGCATGTGGCTCTTTGAGCCTTCTGCTGCAGCTCCCAGCCTCCTCTGCCATTTGCAGAGAGAGAGAAAGAGAGAGAGAGAGGCACTTGTGCTTCCCTTCTCTCTCTCTCTCTCTCTCTCTCTCTCTCTCTCTCTCTCTCTCTCTCTCTCTCTCTCTGTGTGTGTGTGTGTGTGTGTGTGTGTGTGTGTGTGTGTGTAAAAAGAGAGTGGCCTCACCCTATTCTCCGAAGAGCTGACAAGCTTATTGGGTGGGGCTCCTCTCTTTGCTGTGTCTCTGCAGGAAGCAGGAAGGGCAGGAGAGAGACAGCTTGTTGGAGAAGAGCTTGAAGCCAGCTTGCCAGATGAGCAGAAGATCGGAGAAAAGGAGAGAGAGAGAGAGAGAGAGAGATGGACAGGAAAGAGAGAGAGAGGGGGAGAGAGGAAAGAGAGAGAGAGGGAGAGGAGAGAGAAAGAGAGGGAGAGGAAAGAGAGAGAGAGAGAGGGGAGAGAGAGAGAGAGAGAGAGAGAGAGAGAGAGAGAGAGAGAGAATGCATGCACAGCAGCCTCTATTTCTTTTTAATTAAACTCTTCAATTAAGGTCCGCACCCCTTGTGTGTGTGTGCGCGCACATGCGCGCACATGTTTTGCAGCTCCCAATGTTTTCTTTTCTCTGGGAACCAGGTCCAAGTGGCTCTTTTAGTGTTTAAGGTTGCCTACCCCTGTGATAGGCTGTTTTGAAATTAGAAGTATTTAGCGTTGCGCATCCCAAAACTCCAAGTCTTACTGAACTGCATTTTTAGTTCAATCAACCTCACTACTATTACTTCCTAAACCAGTGGTTCTCAACCTGTGGGTCGGGACCCCATTTGGGGTCGATCGACCATTTCACGGGGGTCGCCAAGCAAGGCTGTCCGCCATTTTTTTTGTCCGCCATTTTTTCCCCACCATTTTTCCCCCTTTTCCGGCGGGTGCCTTACCTCCCTTGGGCTGGGCCAGCTGGTGGTCGACCTGCTCCGTCTCTGCCTCTTGCCAGCTACGCCTCGGCCGGCGCAGGGGGCGGAACCACGCATGCGCGGTGCTCCCGGGCAGGGAAAGTCCTCAACTTACGACCGGTTGGGTAGTCCTCGACTTACGACCGGTTTAGTTCTCGACTTACGACCGGTTAAGTCCTCGACTTACGACCGGTTTAGTCCTCGACTTACGACCGGTTGGGGTCACGGCATTAAAAAGGTTGAGAACCACTGTCCTAAACTTTTCCTCCATCAAGGTATTAAATAACAAAAGGGAACTTCTCTACAGAGTTGCCATAGAGTAATTATCCCACTCTCCACCCCACTGCCATGGACATAACCATACTGGCTTATTTTACAGCATTGGCATAACTATGCTTGCCCGTCATTATTCTTCTTTTAGCAAGGTTGCATGGAACAATGTTGAAACTTATTGACCTGAATAATAAAAAAGTGAGAACATACAAGTTTTATATCTTTTATTTTAGAAATGAACTTTTTTTAAAAAAAGAAAATTGGGGATTGGGGTCACCTCCCTGTCCATCTTTATCCTTGTTTGTTGGTCATTTTAGAAAGAGACTCTAGAAAGAGTACAGAGAAGAGCAACAAAGATGATTAGAGGTCTGGAGGCTAAAACATATGAAGAACAGTTGCTGGAATTGGGTATGTCTAGTTTAATGACGAGAAGGATGAGGGGTGACATGATAGCAGTGTTCCAATATCTCAGGGGCTGCCACAAAGAAGAGGAAGTCAAGCTATTTTCCAAAGCGCCTGAAGGCAGGACAAGAAGCAATGGATGGAAATTGAACAACTAACCAGTGGAACAACCTGCCTCCAGAAGCGATGAATGCTCCAATACTGGAAGTTTTTAAGAAGAGACTGGACAGCCATTTGTCTGTAATGGGATAGGGTTTCCTGCCTGAACAGGGGGTTGGACTAGATGACCTCCAAAGTCCCTTCCAACATTATTATTATTGTTTTTGTTGTTGTTGTTGTTGTTGTTGTTGTTGTTATCATCATCATCATCATCATCATCTGTGAAGAAGATTGTAAACTACAACTGGTTAAATTAATTGAGTAACTACTTCTCTGCTATATCTATGTTTTCTTAACATCTAGAACTGCCACTCCCCTTTGAAGAAGTTTATTCTTATGTTGTGTACAGGTATGAGTGCATAGAAACAATTGGCCTATTTCCACGGGTAATATATTTTTTAAATGGTATGATACACAATAATTACTTTTAAATCACAGCTGTTTCATTTTCTAGTTTGCTCCTGTTAAGACATGCTGATAGGGTGGTTTCTAAATATGAATGTAGCTTTTCATATCTGCTGGCTCAACAAATTCTGTCTCATGTGATAATTCTAAAAAATGCAAAAGTCATTTTGCATTTCATTATTCAGAGCAGACTGTAGTTCAGTGAGTGAAGTACATAATTTGCATGTAAGTAGTTCCAGGTGCAGTCTCCCATATCTCTGGGTCCAGTTGTGTAAGATAATTGTGTAAAAGCCTGAAGAATTGCTGCTAGTTACTGTTGACTGAGCTAGATGGACCAATAATCTGATTTGATTTAAGGCAGGTTTTTTCATATTTCTGTGTTTCATTTAAGCAAGAGCGAAATGCAGAAACCTAGGCTAATAAGTTTGCTGCTCCATAAAGAAGATATGTGGATTATTTTAGGTTCCAGAAAGAGTAGCTCTTTCATTTTAGATTACACTAAACATATGATAGTTCTATATTTTATACCATCTATGAACCCAAAATTATTGTAAAGTTGTTTGCTGTCAGACTTTTGGAGGAGAGTATGGCCAACTGAAGATAGCTCTGTGAAAGTGGAATTGTTGACCCTGGCAAAGACATACATTCATATGCACACTCAAAAACCTGTAAGCCTAAGAATTTGCTGTTAAAATAAATAGCAAAAAAGCATATAAGATTTTTATCTAAGAAAGCTATGAACAGATTAAGGGTCAGATAAATTTGGAATATTGATTTCTACTATAAGATTTTGGAATTAACTATAAAAAAAAACTTCTCGTGGGAAACAGATTTATTTTGACTCTCCTGGCTATTGTGAATCATAACAAAGGTAAATGATTATTTTAGAAATTGGACCCTAAAGGGGATTAAAGATTCTAAGCACCAAGAAAAAACATACAAGTGTATTTTTGATGTCAGTTTATCCTAGGAACTACAAAATGACACAAAAAGATATAACATCAGAAATATTAAAGGAAATCTTTGAAAAACAGAGGCAGAAATTAATAGCTACAACATCAACACTACCAGTGATATTTGCTTCTATGGATAGACTATGTCTAAAAATATAAATGAAGGATTGACTCATGTGGAACAAATTTTATCTTTAGCTAAAGTGGAATAACAAATGGCAGGCCAAGAGAATTATTTGGAAAAGGATGCGTTATTGGACATACAAAAGAAATTGGCTAAAGTGTCAAAAATGAAAAGGGGAAATATAAATGATAAACCAAGAGAATGATCTGGAAAATGTTTTGGGTTGGATTTACAAAAGACATTTCTTAAAGCCTCGAAGAAATCTGTGTGATGGGATGAAGAAGACTTGATGAAAAATTAAATCCTCTGATAATATTTGATTGCATGATTTAAAGTTTAAGACCATTAGAAGTAAAAGAAAGAAATATAAAGTTGGTTTATTTGATCAAGTTTATCATTATTATTATGGTTTGTCACACAGCCAGATGTTCACATTGGATCTGGCATTTCTATCCATTTATTGAGTCCTTGCCAAGGACCTGGGATAGGCAGATTAAGTTATTTGATGGTGTTACAGATATTTTTGCGGGATGTAAGCTGTTCTGCGCAAAGCTGCCTTTTGCAATTGACAGATGATAATTCTGTCAGTACCAATGATATTCAAGTTGTTATATTTATTTAATTTGATTAGAAGGGAAGAGACTAATAATAATAACAACAACAAAACAACAACAAAAAACAACAACAACAACAACAACAACAACAACAACAACAACAACAATAATAATAATAATAATAATAATAATAATAATAATAATAATAATAATAATAATAATAATAATAATAATAATCTGGCATTCCTTTATGGACTTTATGCAGAAACCAGGATTAAAAAGCTGATGTTTTATAGATTTGGGATATGGGATGAAGAGATATCTGTTTAACCTTAGAGTGGGTGAAGAATAATTACATTTGTTTATACTTGTGATGAAGGTTGGAAGTCACTTTTTATACATTTATGTGTTTGTGTGTGTGTTTGTGTATTTTATTTTTCTTTATTTCTTTTTCTTTTTTATTTCCATCCAGTTTTCTTTCCTAAGTTTAGTTTGCATTAGTTTTTATTACTGTGATCAAAATTCTTAATACAAATTACATTCTAAAAACTGTTTGCTGTTAAAAAAAAAAGAAATAATAAGCAACACTATAGTTTTACTAAATCATTTTAGGAAAGATGGAATTCTTGCTTTATTTGGTATTACAAAGAAAGCATGAATAATTTCAATTTGTTTTAAATCCATAAAAACTTTACTTGAGGTTGCTTTTCAGGAAAAAAAAAAGTTACTTTGACATTCAATTATCGCTCATCTTTACTTAGAGAAGGTTGTATAAGTCCTGTTAGCCAACAAAATTCAGATTTTATTATAAT